TATACTAGAGCATGTATGAATGGCTTTATTTTTTAACTTTTGGTCATGTCACCATATTTTTCTTCAATATATATATATATTTTATTTTTTTTTCTTTATTAAGGGGTGGGTTTTATTTTTTAGGTTATTCACTCTCTCTTTCTCTCTCTTATCTACTTCATATCTCTCATCTACCTACCAATAAAAAATTAACAAGTATAATATTTTTTAAGTTGAAAATTAAATCAAGAAAAAAGATTTAATTAATATTTTCTATACAAAAAAGTTCAAGGCAATTGAATTACTTAGAATTTATTTTATTTCTTTACAAATTTTATGTTCGCAATCAAACACACCCTTATCTTTATTGACCGTCAAGAATGCATGAACAAAATTAGATTACAAATTTAGAATTGAAATAGATAGCAATAAACGGACTCTAATCCAATATAATTATCCATAATTTGATATAAACTAAACTTTTATAGTTCTTTTAGATTAAATTAGAATAATAAAATCAAAATTTCTTGTATTACACAATTCGAATTCCATACATAGCTAGTAAACTTGAACTGAAATTTAATTCATGTGGGACGATCTTTCAACTCACTAAATCTATTATCTGTCAACGGTCTTGTACACTTACAGCATCTTACTGAACACTTAACATACAGGACACCTTTATACGCCGTGTCTAGGCTTGTCTAGACCCCTGCATTTTATGCCGTTAGAACACTGCATGACATATCAATTGAGTCATGATAAAAATTATACGTTTATTGTCTTTAGAAAAAACTGCAACAGTAGTCCCAAACCTTTTCATTTTTTGTAGGCTTTTTCCTAACCTTTCATAAATATGCCCTTGAGGTCCATCTGGATGGTAATCGTTCAAACACCGTCAATTGACCGAGAAAGTTAAGAAATCAACATTCAATAAAACCATTGAAAAACATCGCCCAAAAATGTATCAACATCCAATAAAATCGTAATGGTAGCAAATAATTCAAGGAATTTTCCCGGTCGACTGATGGTATTTTGGGCGGTTTCCGTTCAAATGGACCTCACGTACGTATTTATGAAAAGTTATGGACATTCGCTAACACAAAATGAAGGTTAGGGACTGTGGCTGCAATTTTCCCTTGTTTTTATGGTGATGTTATAACTATTTGACCGATTTGAATATTAGAAGATCTCCCTTAAGCAATTCTAGCATCGTCTTAGACGCGTGTTCTTGTACAAGTCGATTTCTAAATCAACAATATATTTAGTGTAACGATATATTTTACATCCATTTACAATACATACAAATGGAAGCTAATTGTTGATGGATGCAAGTCTTGTCTGGTGGGTTCAAAGTTGTCAGTGAAATAAAGCAGAGGCAGTAATAAGCAGTCGGTCTGCATGCATTGTCAACTCATACGTCAATCCTGGTGAAGTTTTAATGTTGGTATCTTTTGAAATGCGTGACCAATATTCCCACGACCATTAATTGCTATATTGCATACATCTAATTGAATTCAACAACCTCGTTGAGGAACTCCAATCCATGCAAAATTAAATATTGTGGAGAGTGTTGCGACCATAAGTTGTGTTTATTTCGACGGTACTTAACATAATTGCAAGTTAATTACTTGTGTAAAGTGCTGAGCTTTGCAAGATGCTAAAACTTCGTTCGAGCTCCCTTTTTACAAAACAGATTTTGTAAAATGAGTTTTTTCTGAAAAACACATAGTTGAAAAGTCGGAAAAAAGTATAGGGTTTATGTGTAAAATTATTTTGTTGTGGAAATGTGTAATTGAAAATAAGTTTGTAGATATATGAATTTTAAAGAATGAGACTAAAACATGAACTAATTAATATAAATCCAAACCCGATTTTTGGAATATAATCATTGTTTTATTAAATTCAAATAGTTTGTTTGTCGTAACACAACATTTTAATAGTTTGTAGTTGAATCCATATTAACAAAGTTAGTTATGGTCGGCAGTGATGGACGCAGACATTTCAAATAGGGGCACAATCAAATTTGCAAAATAAATTATGCCAAATTTTACATTTGAAAATTTACATTAAAAAATCATGACCATGTAAATTTGCATTGAACTTTACATTCAAAAATTTACATGGAGTATGACTTTTTTGAATGTAAAATTTCGAGAAAAAATATAATGTCATGCTTATGTAATTTTTTTTTTAATAAAATGATGTAAATTATATTTAGAAATTTGTTGTGCAAAAGTAACAAATGTTAATGAAATAATTGAAATAGTTTAAAGACGAGATATTCGCCTATTTTTTAAGACCCACGTTTGACGTATTTTAACTATTTTTTATATTTTATTGGACCATTCGATATATCTATGCTATAGTTCTCAAAATGAGCTTTGAAATGACGTAGGTGATTTGTGAATTCGGCTACCGTACGATTGTCAAAGGATTTATAGTTAGTATCTTATCGAAATTCTCAAAATATTCATTTGGAACAGCCTATTTTGATAAGCCGTAACATGAGCTATAATTGGCCTTTTCACGCGTCATTAAAGACATAGAGAACTAGGCTATGAACGCTTTGAAATTATATTAAAAATGCAATATTTTGACTTTGTTTGGTATCCAAAATGACTTTGAAAATTGAGATAAAAATATAGAAATCAATGGCGGTATAAAAAAAAATAAAAAAGAGGATTTGTCCAAAAGTTGAAAGTTGACATCCTGCCACCACTTGTTGTTGACAGTCATTATTGAGAAAAAATAATGATATTTTTTTTAGTGATTTTTTTGGAGGATTTGTGATTAAAAAAAATGAAAATATTTTGATTTACATGTAAAATATTTTATTTGAAAATGTATGATTGAACATAAATATGAAAATTAAATTTTTTTATTTCAAATGATGACAAACAGAAGTTTAGATAGCTCTGAGTCAACTAGACATTAGCACATAGTAACTACAACAACTTTTTCAAAAGGATTGTTTGATTTTTTTGGTTTATAGGTAAGTTGATTGGAGCTTTTGGCGAGTCGAGATTAACTCCCTCCTTACTAATTTATTGCACTTTGACACATTAACTCTGTGAGGAGATGTATCTTTAAGCTTGATGTCACTTGTATATATTAGTTGGGCTATCTTACGTTGAAAATGGCAACAAGGCAGGTCGGCGGCCGATATCATCCCCTCTCGATCAAGAATTTTTGGGGATGAGGGAGATCTGAGCCAAGTCTAAATGTGGATATATCTGATCTCCTTCACTAATTCACTACTCATATTTTGAAATATGATTTAAATTTATAAGCATAAATAACATAAAATAAAATCTTATAGTAAATAATTTATTAATATGAGAGGATCAGAGCATCTTTAAGATTCTCTATATTTTTAAAAAGCATACATTAAAGTTAAGAGAGCATCTATAAATTTAGATAATAAAATTTTTTATATACTTTTACAGTCCCTTTATCTTTAAAATTTAATTTTACTACTTTTATTATGTAGTTATTATCTTTTTCTATCTTTTATTTACACTAACTTCCCTTCAAATTATTATATAATTTCTCTCTATTTTCTTTGTATATATCTCTCCTCTCCGTCCCATAAAAATATGTTTATTTTCTTTTTCGTCTATCCCAAATTATAGGCAGTTTTCTTTGTTGTTAGTATAGATATTTCTTTTAGTTTTATATAATATGATCTTATTAAATGTGTGTTGTTATCAACAAATATGAGCTACTAATAATTAAACAATCATTTAATGTAAGGGTATGATTGAGAAAAATGTAAGATAAATATATTTTCAGGTAATTATATTTCCTTAATCTATATGGAAAAATGAAAAAAAGAAATCTATCTTTGTGGGATGGAATGTATACTATTTAACACTTGTTTGGTACCGATTAAAATTTAAATCAAAATCAACAATTAATTTTAATAACAAATTTTATGGATCTCATAACTTTTTAGCCACACATTTCATCAATTTTTTTCAAAATTTACTAAAAATCTGATTTTAATTTTTACGAAACATGAGCTTCATTAGGACGATATGGTGCACCGAAAATTGAAATATTTTGATGCATTTAGTTATAGAGAGTAAACTTGACTCTCCAAAATTTTGGTTTGGAGAGTCAAACTCACTCTCAATTTTAAAATGTTAATTTGAAGAGTCCCTTATATTATAATTTTAAGAGTTGACTATTTAAAATAGAGAATATTTCATTTTTAGAGAAACTCTTGAAGATGATCTTTTTCGTAAAGAGAAGTGGCATTGATCTCATGGACATTTGAAATAAATTTTTTATATGAAAAATTTGTTATTTAATATGAAATTTTATTATTTAATCTTATTGTATTATATATCTAAAAAATTCTTTAGTTAATTCCATTCTCATAAGTAGGGTTGGACACAACTCTCAAACCGAATCGATCAAGCCAGACTTGAACAAAATCGAATAAAATCGAAGCGAGCGATTCTTCTCAAGTTACATATCTGTACGAGTATCTAAATCGAGAACTCACGAATTTGATTCTGTTCTCGGTTTTAGACCAGAACCGAAATCCCTTTTTATCTTAAATAAGCTAAATTATTATTATTTTTAAATAAATTTGATAACTAATTAATTTACCTAAACCTTAAATATGATTTTCCTATATCTAATTTTCATTCCAAACCCAAGTTAATCAAATTGATATAAATTTTATCCAAATCTCTTATTCTATGGTAGTGTCGTTTAAGTCATTCTGGATTAGAAGTTTGGCTATGTATCTCTTCATTATTGTGAGCTTTATATGTTCTTCTTCCAGTGATTTTAATAGTCAAATTTATGAAGAACTCAATAAAAGAGGCGCAAACGATATCACGAGATTGAATTACTTTATTTTGTAAGAGCTAAAATTGAACATATTATTGATTAAATTAATGTAGCGTTGCTTTAAATATTAAAAAATTTAATTATTGTACCAAACTCGAGAATCAAACCGAACGATTCCATTTATTAAATACCTAAAAATTTGGATTCGGCTCAATTCAGTTTTATTCCCTTTACAGCTGAATCGATTCGAATCATATCCAGCCCTACTTGTAGATTTTTAGCAAGCAATGCTCTCTCCTTCTCTCCCCCAATTTAAAAGAAACAAAAAGGGGCAACAGAAATTGCATAAGCACAGTGTCGTTTAGTGTAAGCAAAGCAAGAAAAAAACTATATTCATCTCGTAAAACAAAGCAAAGAAAACCACGGCGCCTCTAACCTCTTCATCCAACTCTATCTTTCCCCTTAAGCAAATCTTTGATAATCAGTTTAAGAATCCTTCTCTCCTTCAGCTACATGCAAGCAACCTCCAGACCTCAATAATGAACATTTCACGTCAAGCACAATCACCGCTTCATACAATTTCTGATTCAAACGGTATTATAGCAGCATCAAATCATGGCAAAACACCAGTTATGCTGTCCAATATTTGCCCAAATTCACCAAGCCTACATGAGAAGAGATCCCCTAAAAGATCTGATATTGTCAAGTACATGGAATGCCTCAAGAACCATGCTGCAGCCATTGGTGGTAAGGCCACAGACGGTTGTGGAGAGTTCCTGCCGGGTGGCGAAGAAAGCTCCCTTGAAGCCCTTATATGCGCAGCATGCGATTGCCATAGGAATTTTCACAAGAAAATACTCATAGAAAGAGGCTATTATTTGCCTGAGATGGGAGTGAAAAGGGCAGATAATGAAGTTGTAAAAAAGAGGTTCAGAACCAAGTTCAGCCAAGAACACAAGGAGAAGATGTTGGGATTTGCAGAGAAATCTGAGTGGAAGATACAAAATGTGGATGAATATGAGGTGAGCCAATTCTGCCAAGAGATAGGCGTGAAGCGGAAAGTGCTTAGGATTTGGATGCACAACCACAAATATAATTACTTGGCCAAGAAAAACTCTATTACTTGAATCATCACTTCCTCAGTATTCCTAGCTTTTTTATCTTTCTAGTTCTTGTTTTTTTTTTTTTTTTTTTTTTTTCTGATATCCAGGTATCCACCTTACAGTGACTAAATCCTGAAGTCTACACCTTGGTCCCTCAAGCTGCAGACATGTTAAATCGCAGGTTGTGTTTCAAACTGACCAATGCTGTTTCAAACTGACCAATGCTCAAGAGCCCCCCAATTGATCTGTCAAAGTGTCAAGCAAATCGTTTTTTTTCCATCTTTGCATCTTGTTTTTTGGTAGAGCTCCTACTTTCCAGAATAAATCCTGCCTTTTAGGAGAATATCTGCCTTTCAAGAGCTTTTCAGGAATTGAACTCACGATCTCTGATCTGCTAGTCTTGAAGCACCCTCATCTTGTTCTTGGGGGCCTTTCTAGTTCTTGTTCTTCTTTTATTGCAAGCTTGTTTGGAGCTTGAGTTTTCGTAATTCCTTAGTTGTTGAAGTCCAAAGTTAAATTTCACAATGCAATTAATCACTCTGTTAGCAGCATTCATTGCGGTCTGGATGTAGCCCTATTAAACCTTGACAACAATTAGTGGTTGTTGGGTACGTCTTGGGAAATTAAAATTTTTGAACTAAATTGAAATTTTTGAAAGAAAAAATATCATAATTTTAAAAAAAAAAAAAAAAAAATCTCAAATTGTTTTTTTTTTTTTTTTTTTAACCCTGACCTTATTTTCACCATAATAAATCGTGAAAATGCCGCGACAAAGTTGAAGGGAGACACGTCAAAAGAATCGATCGGTATAATGGCTCTTACGGCTGCTACATTGGATATGGGATCAATGAAGTGACCAATTAGTTTAAACTTAGTAATTAAATGAGTCAAAAATACGTTGGTAACCGATTTAAAATTTGGTTTGACCTTCGGTGACCATTTGTTGAATTAAGTGACAGACGTGTGCACGTGTAGCGTTGCGGGTGGGAGTTAAATTTCGGAGTCAAGTTGCTCGTGCCCGAATATTAAATTAATAAATAGATGGGCTAAATTTCATATGCTGTCTCTTTATTTTTAACGAAATTTTAATTTGTTAACAAAACCTTTTTTTTTTTCTTTTTTTTTTTTTTTATCTTGAGGGGTAGTTTAGTGGTCAGACCTTGGGTTCACTTCCCAATGGTCACCAATTTGAGTCTCTCAGAACCATTGAGGTGAGTACCCAATTGTAAATTTCAAGATCCCGTGGAATTAGTCAAAGTACGTGTAAACTGATCCGAACACCCATAATCATTAAAAAAAAATTAAATTAAAAAAAACAAAACCTTTTCAAATTTCACTACTTCGTCACCTCGGCTCTCAAATGAATTAAAATTACTTAATCGACGTCACATCACAACAAATATTTCACATACCACAACAAATATTTCATATCACTAATGCATTGCATGCCTACTTACTACTACGTTTTATCATAGAAGTATTAAAATAGAAAATACACATTTTAATGTTTTAATTTAAAGACATTGTCATTAGCTCATTTTAGTATTTTTCCTACCGCATCACATGATTACGTGGTAGATTAGGTATGGTAAGGAATTGCAAATTGTGGGCACGCATTTACTATCCCTGTTTACCGCCTCATTTACATATTTATTTTTTAAATATAATTTAATTTTAAAAATATTAATATAAAATAAAAAAACATATTTTGGATGGAGACGGGGAATTTGAGGTGGTGATCAAGGGCGAACACAGACATTTTACATTAGGGGGTCACAATCAAATTTTAAAAAAAGCGACAAATTTTTTTTATTACTTTACAAGGATTATAAATTGTTATAATACTTTTTTATCTTGATTATTGTTACATCTAAAATTTTTTTATATATATAAAAAGAATTCGATCATTTTTAGGATTTTTTTTATTATTGTTACTTTTTCCTCTCAATTAATTAATTTTTTAAAAAAAATAATCTAATAAAATTTCTAATAAAATTTTTGAAGTCATTTGAAAAAAAATAATTAATTGATTAAGAGGAAAATGTAACAATAACAACAACAACAACAACAACAACAACAATAATAATAATAATAATAATCCTAAAAATGATTGAATTTTTTATATAAAAATAATCAAGCTGAAAAAGTAATATAATACTTTATAACTCCTATGAAGTAATAAAAATTTTATTAAGAATTTTTACGCCAAATTTTTTTTTTTTTTTGACGTTATACCACATATAAAGTTTCCTAATAAAATAAAGTAAATTATGTTGAGAAATTTTTCGAGCAAAAATAATAAATATTAATAAAATAATTGATTTTTTTTTTCAAAAAAGACGAGTTATACGTTTCTTTTTAATAAATACGTTTGACGTACGTTTAACTATTTTCGATATTCATTTAAATCATTCAATGTGTTTATAATATATTTCTCAAAATGAGTTTCGAGAAGATATAGAAGATTTATGGATATGACTAGTGTATAATCGTCGAAGTATTTTTGAAGTTAACTTGTCATCGAAATTTTCGAAATATTAGTTTGGAACGGCATATTTTGACGCGTCGTAACATTTGCTGCGATTGGTCATTTCGCACAACATTAACGATGTGAAATACTAGACCTTGAGAACTTTAAAATGATCTTAAAAATGTAATATTTCAATTTCGTTTGATATTTCATAGTGAGTCCGAAAATTAAGAACCAAAAAAAATAATAATAATAACTTGAAAATTTTGAAAAATCTGCAGAGTCAAGTGACCCTAGGGGATCACCCTTCGGTCTGCCCATGGTGGTGATGAGATGTGTCAATATAGGGGTAGGGATGCACGCTACAAAAAATCAACTTTTCATCGACGGATCAAATAATCCGTTGGCAAAAGTAATTATGTTTTCACCTACTAATTACCAACAAAATTTTCGTTGATAAAGATGATGGCTCTTCACCAATGAATATTGTGTGCCTCTAATAGTGTCGTTTAAGTTCTGCATTACTCACCTTTGAATATGTAAATTGACTTTATAAATTTAAAAGTTCCAATCATTCACCTACAAGAAGTTCGTACTTGAAGAGCAATCCATTAACTATGGCATTTCCCTAGGTGACGTAATTTTTTTTTTCTTTTTTCAAAAAAAATTCAACTTTGCACCTACAAATATTTTCTGTAAATAAAGAGTGATTATATTATCTCGACCTTTAACCTACAAAAAAGTCAACATAAATCAATTTTTCAAAAAAAATAAGTTTCAACATTTCACTATGATTATTTTGTAGGCGAAGAGTAATTCATATTACCCACATAAAATTCGTAAGTGTTATCAATCAATTTTAAAAACTAAAAAAAAAAGTTATAATCACTCATGCACTGACATTCTGTATGTGAAGAGTAAATCAAATTTTATATTTTTTTCATTTTCTTTTTAAAGAAAAAGTTTGAACCTTTCATTTACTAATATTCTTTAGGTGAAGTATTCATATTACCTACAAAAAATCCTTAGCTTATATTAATTAGTTTTAATCACTACGAAAAATGCATGTGTGAAATAGTTTACCAACTATATGACATCCTTTTCGTTGGGAATTCCATGTTAAAAAATGAAAGCAAGTGTCGTTTAACATCCTTTCGTATAGTTCGTACCACAATTAAGTTTTTTCGAGCAAATGTGATACTTTAAATTCTCATGCTTAAATATTCTAACCCAAGAAAAAAATTACTAAAACAAGGTTTTATATAGTTGTTGGGAACAAAAACTTATGTCGAAGATCTTATGATCATAGCATCTTAATATGACAAATAACTTGTTCGGTACATACTTTTAATTTAGTAATAGTAATTTAACTATATTCAATGTTTAACCTTTTTTTCATAAAACTAATTGATAATTTTAATATGGCGGCATATATATGACTGAGAATGGCAACGGTACGGACTAATTAGCCATGGTCCTTCCCACTCCTCGTCTTGTTGGGAACTTTTGGAAGGCTGGACGAGGATAAAATATTCATTTACTATCCATTTACTTACTTAATTAATTTGAATATTTTAATTTATTTAAATATGATTTGAATTTTAAAAATATAATAAAATAAAAAGATTTGGGATGGAATTGAGAATTTTGGACTTGGATAGGTAAGTGTAATTCTCTAATTATTTGGGTGATCAAAAGTCGATGTTTTGGATTGCTTTTATTGAATTTATAGTCAATCAATATATATAAATCAAGTAATTATGGAAGGTGGAGATCCAAATGTCAAAATTGGAAAGATGAGGACTTGCAATGAAATTTAAAAATGATTTAATTTGTACAAAAGAGGAAAGATGAGGATCAAATTGGAAACAAAGGGAAAACGTGTGTATTTATTCCCTTTTATTTTTTTCGTCAATTAGTACCAAATTCCTTTGAGTTAAAATCTTTCAAAAATCACTCAACTTATACCATAGTTACCGACTGCTCATCGAAATTTAATATTCTTTATAGTGCTCATTGAAGTTTTCACTTTAGCACTTCATCTATTAACCTTAGATATATGTTACCTTTCACTGATGTTGTAGACAAAAAGTTACATCTCAAGTCCGTTAAAAGCATGCCAAATCACCGTGCTTGTCCTAGTTAGTATAAAATGCATGCCACGTGTAATAAAAATATGTTTTTTACTTCTTTTTGAAAAAACATCAAAAAAAATCAAATTGGACAAAGCCAATGTTCTAAAAAGCTCGCCTAGACACCGACTAGGCTCGAACTTTGGGCAAAACACCTCGCTTTACCCCGAGGCACTTTTTTTCCAATTCCTAAAAAGCTGAATTTTTTCCTTCATTTCTTTCGTCCTTCGTGAACATGCTTTATTAGTTTTTTTTTAATCTTTTATTTGAAATTAGCTTATTATTGTTTTTCAAAAAAAAAAAAAACGTTTCATTTAACTTTAATTTCAAGTTTTTAAAAAAATTTATTTGTAGAAAAGTTAAAAATAACTTTATCTAAATAGTTAAATAAGATTCTAAGTTATATGTGGTGTTATCTACATTATTATTTTGAGATTCATTTTATTACAAACTCTAAAGTATGTATGAAATTCCTATAAATCTATTAAGTAGGACTTATCTAGTTGAAAATTGAAACTATGGAAAATATTCTAATTTTTGCATTTTGAAAATTTGAAAATTGTATAATTGACTAATGGTATGAGTTATTAAGTAAATATTGTAGTTTATAATTTTAGATATTTAATATGTATTATTTTGATTATTAAATAATTTCTAAAATGATTAAAAATTTAAAATAATATTAATTAATGACTGAAATACATTGCTTGTGTATTCTTGATTTACGTATTTGTAAAACTAAAAGGTTTTGGCAAAAAGATTTAAACTATCTAAGGAGAGTTTGAGATTTAAGCAGTCCACCCGTGACCCCCTCCTCACTTGAAAGCCTTTTTAGTTGCGTATTATTCAAATCAATAAGACAAAAGCAATGTTTCAAACCCACTTCAATTTTAAGAAAATCCTTTTTTGGAAACTTTTGTACCAAAAAAAATCTATTTTACAAAATTTCTA